TTGGAACACTGTTAAGTAATTTCCTGATAAATGATATACATTTTCATATATTACTAGTACACTTTTATCTAATCATATCATATTGGTGTATTCTATGCATTAGTGGTGAGATATGGAAAAATCCTGCATTTATGACTAGTACATCTCGCAGTGAATAAAGTGAAGGTACTTATATCACAGACGTTATAATTCTTTTGCTTCGATCAAGTTTGGGAGATGATATTGTTTATTTAAGTACGGCAGAATGACAGAGTCTAGCAAGCAAAGCTAGACAAAATATAAGAGTAGATGAAGAGCAAATAGGAAAGAAGTCTGATATCATGAGATTGTTAAAATGAGATGAAAAGATTTTAGAGTTGATATACATCGAGTCTTCACATATTATCTGTACTAATTCAAAAAAAGTAGATGACGGCATAAAATTATGAAGAGAGATATTAGATGGGATGAGTTTTATAGATGCATCATATAGATCAGTCAGAAACCAATTTGGGATCATAAGGCTCCAGATTGCCGGTATGGACTTGCGTCTCAATATTCTAGTAAAGGACTTGGATGGTATATCAAGATATTTCTACTTAGACCATTCTGAAATTCTATTAACATCACATATGTTACACACTAAATCTCTAGTTCATTTATTATTAACCTTAAGAAATATAATGATCATTAACAAAAGCTTATTAGTACAGGCATTAGAATAAGCTAATACATACCCACCCTGAAATGTTAACCCAAGTCCTACTGTTTCATCTCCACCCTATAATTCTTAGGTAAGTATAGAGATATTGTATAAATTATTATGTATTTTTATTGTATCAACCATACTGGCTTTGCTAATAAAGGATTCGAGTTAGGAAGATTATATATCATGTCATGTAGTGTGTCTTGTATTGAGATAAAAGTTTATACGTTGATTTTTCTATGTCTATGACCCCCTTCAGGCCTGTGGAATAATGATACTTTGTATCTGGCATGAGCTCCGCTCTTAATATGATGCACGTACACATGATCGAATATTGAGATGTAACACCCATATAGTCATACCAGAAAATTAATTATATGTTTGTAATATATCCTGAAATAGATTATATAATGATTATCCCAAATATAGTACAATGCATTATCAATAAACCAGCTATCTTTCTATCACTCAGCTATGTATGTTCTGTGAATTTCTATGTTAATCCCGACGTGATCTGATTGATTAATAATTTTCCGGTTTTTTAATTATTCTGATTGAATGAATCACACTGGAAATTAGCAGGAGGTTATTGGGTAACCGTCATATACATACTCTTACCGATTACATTCCCACATTCTTTTCGTGAAAGTATATGCTATTCATCTTGAGTAGAATATCAGCTTCTCACTTCGTGAGATGGCTCATCGAATAGTGTTACTTTTGATTTCTCTGATTATTAGTTAATACATTGTAAACCTTTATTCCATCACTAACTTCTATGATGGACACAACTAATCCAACTAATAAACAGAAAGAAGAAGCTACATTAGAGGAAACATTAGCTAACACTGATCAAGGTCCATCATGGGCTACATCACAGTTGATTACAAATACGATGCTAGGATTACAAGTTATATATATTCTATTAGGTACAGGAAGCTTCAATAATATAATATAGTCACGATTATTTTTTTAGTATAATAAAGTTTTCGAATAAAGTTTGTCCACATTTAAGGCTTGTATTTTTAACTTGTGTATGCATGAATGTGGGTGTATAATATATATCGGAATAATAAAAAGCTTATATACTGATATCGTATACATAATAATATTTGCTTTATTACATGGACATCAATGTATACTAACTCATAAATCGAAATTTAAATAGATCTATACCTTACATAAAAAATACGAAGGATAGGCTATGGAAGAGAACACTGAACTCAAGAGCAGAATCGTTGAGTTGGAGAAAAATAGGACAGATACTGTTGCCGAGAATGCTGAACTTAGAGCTAGAGTTGTGAAATTAGAACAGGATATAGATGAACTTAAAAAAGAATTAGAATCTAAGAAAAATCACAAATTTCAGGAAAAATGTATTCTAATAGTCCAGATACTTCTTAATGAGGAACTTGCAGTTGAATATTGGCCATCTTTTATGGAAGGATTAGAACTTGATGCCTTTTTCCGATATAATCAAATTGCATTGGAGATCCAAGGAGCATAACATCAGTTTCATAACACTAGTTGGTATAAAGATGTTAAAAAACTTGAGGATATTATTAATCATGATCGAAAGAAAAGAACCCTGTGTCAACTTAACAGGATCTATCTTCTTGAGGTATGGTATGATGAGAATCCAGAAATCACTATTCCTAAGAAGATATATAAATTTAGAGAGTTTATTGATAGAAAAATCTTTAATCTTGATTAACTCTTACATGGATAACTTAGTATCATATGCAATAGAATTGATTATATGCATAGCTTATTCATAAATTACTATATTTTTTTTTCTTTGCTCAAACTGAATATGGTGATTACTTTACTTGTTCAACGACCTGCCCTATATGCAATAAAGACCATAAAAAAGAAAATATAAGAGATAATATAAAAGGTGAATGGGGTAGTGGTAATTATATCAATACAAGAACTTATCATCTGCAATGCTATGAGGCCTATTAAAATTCAATTCAAATAGTAATGGTGAAAGCATAGAGCAATAAGCATGTAGGATAAATATGAGATCACAGGCTTTTTATTTGACATGTTCCATGAGACACGGAGTGTTATTTCTCCAAAATACTTCTATGTCGATCCTACCTGTGATGTGATTAGTTAATAAATTTCTGACTGTTAACAGTTTTTAATTATTCTGATTGAATGGATCACTATTCTGGAGAATAGGTCCTATTACGAAGCTTATTTTTACAATATTTTCAGATAGAAGAAACAATCTTTTTCTTTTTAACATGAACATGATGAATCAGAGATTCGAGGCTTTACTTCTTCTTTCGGGGATTTATCTGATCGAGATCATACCAGTCTGAATCCGTGGATTCTGAATCAGAGCTGGATGATTTAGAAGAATCTGTCTTAGATTTTATCCATGGTAGCTTTGCTTTATTTATATAACTTAGTTCATACTCAATAATATGAAGTTTTTCAAAAACTTCATACTCTATATCATTTTCTATAGAATGAACTGACTTTCAAATATTATTGAGGTGTGTTTTTATTGAAAGCTTTTCACTCTCATCACTTAAATCTATTTTAGGATATTTCTTAACCTTACCAGCTCCGCTATTTTTAGAAACATCATTATTTAATCTTCTGGGTATTGGAGGTATGGGAGGTATATTGTGAAATATACCGTGATGGCTCTTTTGGTGTTTAATATCTTGAGCATCTGAGAGAATTTTGTTGATTATGTTTATAACCTCCTCTTGAGCTAGACCAGGTTTAGATTCCGTTGATTTAGATAAGTTATTTTTAGTAGAGCTGACTTTATGGCTCGAAGAGTCACCTATAGATCTGCTATCTTCTTCGATTAATGGGATACTCATACCATCTATCTCAATTTTAGCATAGCGCTTACAATTTTCCAGAGAAAATCCAAAGCTAATTTTTGCTTCACGTATTCATAACCAATTCCATCCTAGCACCAAATCAAATGATAGATTTTTGTGAATTTGAAAATCTATTACTTTGGTACCATCTAAGCTTCGCCACTTTTCTTTATACCAAAATTGCAAATCTAAGCATTTTATTTCTTTGGCTATCAAATTATCACCGGATATACCTTCTAACCCATAATCTTCTTCAAGCTTATTATACAAGCGCTTGCTAATAGTATTGGATTTAGATGTTGTATCGATTAATACTTTTATTGGAATTTTTTCCTTTATGATTGTTTTTATGAAAACTAGAGATGGAAGCCGCAACTAGCCACAACTCTGTCGTAATTCTCTGATTGGCTGCCGCAACTTTGTCACAATTCTCTGATTGGCTATCGCAAGCCGTAATTAGTTAAGGAGCCATCTTTAATGAAAACCATATCAAATATTATTTAATGATATATATTATAATTGAAAAAATAACTCAGTAAATAATTACCCATTCTCTGCTACTACATAAAATTATTTGTAAACCATGAATGATTAAATTTAATTCCACTAATCTCTCTGATGCAATTACTGAGTGCAGAAATAAGATCTGTTTCATCTAATAATGTACTGGTGAACATTGGAATAGGTAGATCAAAATTGGACCATTTTTTATCTGAATAATTAGGGTATTCGATTTTAATTTTAGGATTAAGTTTTTTCATTACTTCTTCACTAATCCCTTTACACCCCTCCAAACTAAGATATTTCAAATTAGTACAATTGTGGGCTATTTTCTCGACAGCTTTATTACTAATCGAGCAATCACCAAGTTCAAGATATTTAAGATTTTGGCATGAGTGAACAATTTCAGTGATATATCGATTAGTAAGACAATTACATGAATTAAGACTCAGATGTTGTAGTTTTGGAGAAAATCTCGCAATTTCTATAATTAGTATATTAGTGAAACCCTTACTTTTGTCAAGAATAAGAGTATATATATCTGAACACGAATGTAAAATTATACTAATCAATGCATCAGAGATTTTTAAACCTTTCAATCTGAGATATAACATCATTGAATAATAGAGAGATTTTGTCTTCTCACACATAACTTTTTTAAATTTCAATAATCGCCAATAAATAGTCTGAGATTTCTTTCGACCATACAGACCTCTCTGATAATCTTCATTGATAAACTCAATGCGATGCCATAGAATAGGAGCACTGCAGTAATATCAAAACTGATTAACAAATAAAGCGGGATAGAGAGATTGATCGATTTCTAAAAAATATAAGATCTGTTCTAGTAATTCTGGTAAATCAAATATATTCAGTTGCACCATTCTCAAATAATGTATTATTATATATCTTTAATGAAAAAACCAATGCTTAGATAATTAATTTTTCTTTTTTACTTTGTGACATCACACACTCTTATATATGTGTGTATCTTTTGATCCTGAACTAGATGAAAAAATGCCTGATTCAGAAGTATCAGAGTTAGTATCTAATTCCGATTCTATAATAGAATACTTGATCTTATTTTTCTTGCTTTTATTTTGCTGTAAGCAGGAATCAGAAGAACCTGACTGATTATTATGTAGCAATGAAGCTTCGCTTCTATCAAATTCATACACAGGTACTACTATGGATTTTCCTTTTCTTTCGGCAAGATTTTTGATACAAAGAGTTGTCCTTACCCAACTATCCTCTGCGTCAGTTATAATTTCTGCTCTATATATCTGGAGCTCTTCATCATCATATTTTCGACTAGTAAACCAATCAAATCCTAACATGATATGATTAGGAAATTCAGGATGATGTTTTATGATTAATACCTGGATTGGAATTGTAATAAATGTATATTGTTTGCTAAATCGACTACATTCTACACTTGAAGTAAAAGTAAGTGAAATCATGGTCCATCCAATCAGATGTGTAGTCATCTCTCTGAAAAATCTACTATCTTTATCTTCAGAACTTATCCATCTAGTGATTTTCTCACTAATATGCTTGAGAATTTTATCATTATATATAGTTAGCCCCAAAAATCCCGGTTCGAGACAGCAGTTGACTTCTTGATCTCTAAATTTAGCTTTGGCTATTTTCATGGTAAGATATATTATGTGATATATATTTGATTGAAAAAATAACTGAGTTCGGATAATTATTTTAGGCATATATACTATGCATTTTCTGGATATTCTTAATTACACAACTAGTTCCATCAAGCAATGTAAGAGTTTTATTTGGGAAGTCCATTTTCATTGCATTTTCCTGGAACCACGGCTGAGCCAATATCAGTACAGAATCAAATTCAGGTTTATTAGTAATGAAAATATCGGTAACTTTTACTTATTTCTATTTAGGGCTCTGAGACAGGATTGAAATAGGGATTTCACGAATTACTCCTACTACATCAAGTTTGCCAATAGGTGTGTATACTTCTACATCAGAGATATCATCGATTTCTAAACCTAATTCATTTATCACATCCTCAGCTATAATATTACAATTGCTAGCGGTACCTAATATAGTTTTAACTGGTACTTTGTTAATTTCGCAAGATAAAATTCTCATCATATTTTATTATAACAATATATTTAATTCTGCATTTTTTTTTATTGTGTATTAATAAATAATTTAACATATATAATGGTCAAAGCTAATAACAGTATTGTGCCAGTTCATCAAAATTTATTGCAAAGCCATGATCCAAAGGGTCTACAAGAGAATGATGATAAAATCGCATTGCTAATAGAACCAATGAAAAAAATATCTATATCAGTTAATGGTAGGGATATAGAAGTGATTTATGATTCAGGCAGATAGTATTCAACTATTACATACAAAAAAGCAAAAGAGCTGGGCTTGGAAATAGATGAAATCTCACCTTGAATTAACGATATAATAGTGATAGATCTTGTCAGACAAGTACTATATAAAGAAATTCGAATATCTCTCCATGAATTACTGAAGATAATAAAACTTGAGGTTTGACAAGATATTATAAATTTGATAAAAAACCCAGATATTACTAAAAAATGCAAGATAATATGTGAGGGTAAAAGACGATGTAAAGTTAATAAGACTTTTTTAAATGATTCTTCATCTTCATCCTTAACTGGATCTAGCTCTAAATCCGATTCCAAATCTAATAACGATAAAGTAATTATACATGTAATAAAAGCAAAGAAGCATAGTTAGTCTTTATCATAGATCTGGAATAGTCTTGCTTGCTCTGGAGATTGGTTTTTTCTGCGATAATTCACTACAACATAATTCTGTACTGGAGAAGTATGGTTGTCAGGATTGTGACGTAGACATTCTCCAGCAATGGTATAAGCATGGGCCATATTCTTAGCCTCATGTACTATCACACCATAAACAGCACCCATTTTTCATAAGTATTTGGAAATTAAATTATAATCTTTTAAGAATTTATTGAATCATTTAACTTCTGGCTTACCTGGATTATCCATTCGTCCAGATGATATAGCACGCTGAATTCAAGTAAGTAGTTCTTTGGCTTGTTCTTGATTCTTTTCCATAAATCTAAATTTTCTAGGAATATCTAGTTAACCCTGATTTTTTGCATATCCTGTTACTCTGGCATCTGTAATACGTAAAGTTGTAAGTTCAGCAGGACGAATACAAAGCATCATCATGACATCAGCAAGAGCCCAATAATTGGGCAGAGTTTTTAAATCATACGCGTCTAACCTTTCTTTGACTGATTCTAATATAAATTCATCTGAATAATTGATACATTTAGTTTTAGCCTTTTTCCAATTGACACTTTGGATTTTGTTGGCATCTTCTGTAATATCTGGAAATTTCGTAGCCTCGATTATCTCAAGTGATGCATTAAGATTTCTTAATTCTCTACGAAGATGAGTGAGACATGATGAGTCAACATTAGCATTTTTTGCTGATAGGGCTAAGGCATAAGCTTCAGCTCTTACATCTCTAATACTAAGTTTATCCCGTAAAATCTATTGTGCTATATATCCGATAGTTTCTTCCTCCATTCCTTTTGAGAGTTTGTTAGAAATCACAATATTTACATTTTTATTTGAGGTAGTTACACTGTGGCTACTTCTGTTTTTCTGGATCAAGAGGCGACGTAAGTCACTTTGCAAAGCAAATAAGGCATTTACTTGATCTTCACTAAAGCCATATCTATTCTGTAAGATTCGTTTAGTTATCTCTCTGATAATCTCCTCTTCTAAATCTTTTGGGGGCGAAGCTATAGCTATTTTGCAACTGCTCTCGATAACATTTATAATCTTGGCCTTACTACCTCTTTGATTAGGTATTAATATACTTACCTGATCACTGCTAAATTTAAAACCCTCTCGAAGATGTCATCGATCTTGATTCCATTTTCTATCATCAGTAAGATTTTCAAGAAATTCTGAGGTGTATTTACTAAGCTTAGATATACTCATCTCATTGTTGAGATTATATTTTTTAACGATTTTAGTTACAATAGCTGATATGATCTAATATTGAGTAGGTTATGAATAATTCTTTAGGTTATTTACACTATAAAAAATATTTTTTCAAATCAAAATTAATTATCCATGGATAGCTATACCCAAAATTGAATGGGTGGTGATTATTGTAATTCTATCAGAAAATGGACGTGAACAAGACATGGAATAGATTGAAGATTTTAGAATCTATAGCTTTACGTAATAAAATTACTAAAAATATCAATGGGATCAAAGAGGATATAATATTACTTAAAGAGATCCTGGAAAAAATAATCAATATATACATATGCTAGGTATATGATTAGATTTCGTGCATAGAATCGGGGAAGTCAGATATATAATTCTTAAATATGATAATTTATGCACATAACTCATCCTGCTTTTTTCTGTCATAATTCTCTTTACTTTTATATTTTCCCATATATTTATTGCATGCATTATATTTAGATCTATTTGGCTTACCACAATCTCTACAAGGAGTAGGTATCAGAGAATTACGATAAATATAACATCTTTTTGATTTACTACGTCGACCACAGATTTTTCCAGTTCTATGAATATATGAACAATGGTATAATATCATCGCGATTATATATAATAATTACTTCAATCAAATATATAATTTTTTTTGGCATCCAGCTAAAATTTCTGGAATAATTAATTTTATTTTAAAGATTTATCTACCATTTAATATAGTTTTAAAAATATATACTTTTTGTCAGATCAAATAACACACATATACAAATAACATATATACAAATCAATAAAATGAGTTTGTCTAGTGAAGCAAAAAAACATCTTCATGAATTGTTATTGCAGAGCAATAGCTCTTTGAGCCTACAGTAACAGTGCTTAAATCAAAAGTCAGCCGAATATAATGAAGCAAAATGGCTTTTTATGGGTTTAACAGATCTCGATTATAAACCTGGTCATAAAGAATATACATTTTATAAATACTGGCTTGCATCTAATGGACATATCAGCTCTTTTGATAGAAATAATACTGCACTTTTAGATGCATATCAACCTGAAGAGATTCATTCTCAATATATAATTCAGATAGCAGGAAAAGATTATACAGTGATTGATCATCTTTCTGAAGTTTATAGAATATCTGATACTCACAAATGTATTGATGATAACCAGCCTCTTCATTTGATTATTGATATTGATGCAAGGCAAAAGTCTGATCCTACAAATTCTAAAGTGCCTTCCTTAGATGATAAAAAAATTATACGAGAAGATTTGTTATCTCGAATTTTAGTCGCTTGTGCAGATGCATTAAGCCTTATTCCTAATTGTATGCCTTTCTTAAATTCTTTTGCCTTAGCTAGTTCATCAAATGCTAAGAAATATAGTTGGCATATTATTTATCCTCGTGCCCAATTCATAGATTATAGAGAACTTAAGAGATTCACAGAAAAGGTTATGGAATTAGTTAGGGAACCTTATTCAAAATTTATTGATAATAGCCTTCCCAAAACACATTTTAATCTTCAGCTTCTGGGATCAGCAAAAGAAGGTCGTATAAAAAGACCAGCTATTTCTTCAGTTAAAAACGGATTTAAAAATCTAGATAATTATCTGGTTCAGCCTAAAGAGAATTATTCTGTAATCTGGCCATGAACCTTTTCTTCTGAGGAACCAGTAAAAGTGGAATTTCAACCTATTAATGATGATGATGCTTTAGTTAAAGGAGCTAATTTAGCTATTGCAGAATATGGGTGGCTTCAGATTGGAAGAATTGAGAAGGGATTCATTAACTTTCAAGCACAATTTGTATTATGTAATAATGAGCTCCACTCTAAAGAATGCCCTATATGTGATGTTAAGCATGATAAAGATCAACTCTATAGATTTATTCGTCAAAATGGGTATTTCGTACTTAAATATTATCGCCAAAAACAATATAAGCCTGAGCATAAGAGGCTGAGCTTTGGTAAGGTATCAGACAAAGTTGAGTCGAAAGAAAAGTCTAAGTGGAGATTAATTGAAAGATTACCCAATGCCATATTAAATCCACATCTACTTGTCAAATTATCTGGAAAAATCATCAATGTAAAGAAAATGAAAGATGCACCAGAAGCTTATCCCGATTTCTTAAGTAAGAATCTCACTACAACTCTTATTCGCTCTCCTGTTGCTAGTGGCAAAACAAAAACACTAAGAGAAATTCTCGATTCCTTAGTCAAAAATAGAACAGATTTATCTTATTTTAACTGGGTTTTATATTATAAAACTCTTAGTAATGAGACTAAAGCTAAAGTTGAAATATTGCAAAATTCAGGACTCTGTGTATGCCATTATCAAGAAAATGAGAGTGATTTAGCTATACGTGACTGGGATATTATTATTATTCAAGTCAAAAGTACACATCATCTCAATTTCTATGAAAGGTGTTTTTACATAGTTATCTTAGACAAAAATAATGCTATTATGCGTCAAATGTCTAGTGGAGTTCATGCACGTGAATCTGAAAATGCTATATGGGATTTATTAAAATCAGCTGTTCATATTATTTCTATGGACGCATTTGTAAACGAATCAACTTTAAACTTTTTGAGACAATATCGAGGTGGAGATATAAGAATTTTTGATAATGAATATAAGCCACGTAAAGGTGAAACTGTTAAAATTCTTTATGATCCAGATAAAGGATTAGAAGCTATACGTAGGGATCTTAAGATGCTTCAGGAAGGTAAACGAGTTGCTTTTTCAATGACCTCATGCAAAAAAGCACAAGTTTTGGCAAACCAAGCTTCCAAATTGCAAAAACCAGATGGCTTGCATGTTTTATCACGAGTTTATTTTGGCCAAATGGATGGAAAACAACAGCAGGATGACTTTGCCGATATTAATGCTACTTGGAGTGGTCTTGATTGTGTGGATTATACAAGTACTGTAGAAGCTGGCATCTCTTTTGAAATTTCCAATCATTTTGATGCAGTTATAGGAATAAGTAATATTAATACAGAAGTGCATGCTGAAGCTTTTACACAAATATTTTATTGAGTTCGCGATTGCCCATATCATATTATTTCTTTTTATAATAGTAAAAAAACTGGCATTTTCAAAGAACCGAATCGTGATCTCATTCATGCTGAACTCTCTGCCTTGAGACCTGGAGATTTACCAACTGCTATAAAAGGACATCGTGAATGGAATAAAATTAATGATTACTATACACTCGATTCATCTCCAGCTGTAGAGACTTATATTGAGATCAAATATCAAAGACGTTTATCAGCTAAATATTTTTCTGAAATTCTTTGCAGTCTTATTGCTAGTACTGGAGCGACACTTGAGTTAATTTCAGCAGAAGATACTGAAAAAGTCAACAGAAAAGAAATTTCTCATACTATTAAGAATATTGAGAAAAAAATTAAAGGTGCAAATGCAGAATCAATAGCTAATGCTCCAGATATTAGTCCCAATGAAGCTGAAATTCTTAAGCAAAATCCTTTACACTCTTTTACTGATAACATGGCTCTGCAATGACATTATTTATGGAAAATATATGCTTCAGGTGATATTGGAGATAAAGATAATATTCGAAACTGGGGTATGAATAATGATGATTGGGTTAAGCTTTGTAATATAGATTTCGTGAAAAAATTCAATAATCCTGAACCTTTAAACCATTTTAGAAGGCTGGTGTATCATCGAAGACAAGGTTTTAATGCGACAAATTCCATAGAAAATCTAAAAATCAAAGAAGAAATGCAGTAGGAGGATTCACATGAATCTATGGATCCGTCCTCAGTTGATTTACATAAATTTTATTTGACAAAATAATGAGAAGCAATACATAATCTTATCTAATCAATAGGATTTAGAGATATAGATGACATGAATATACTTTCTTGTGATGATATAGCTAAGACTTTTGAGCAATCTTGGGAAAAAATCATTAAAATTCGAGAAGATGCATTATTACTCTTTGGCTTTAAAATCAGAGCTAAAGGAATGCCGAATCTTAATGCTACAATAAAATTTATTAATGCAATAATAGGTAATTGGTGTGGTTATACTATCAGGAGTGGGCAAAAGCTTTCAGAGTCAAAAGGTCAACGAGTGTGGAAGCGTACTTATTGGATTCATCGCAAACCATATGATGGAGCTGGTTTTGATAATCAAGAAGAACTAATAGAAATAAAGTTGCGTAATCCTGAATATTTTCCTATAGCTCCAATTCTTCCATCATATAAATCTAAATCAGTCAATGAAACTCAAGAACTTTTCGATTATATATCCATTACTACTGATATCGCTATTTCAGAAGTTAGTAATGAGATTTGTGAACAAAGTTCTTGTAATAATATAGTTGAAAAATCCAAGACAAATTTATTGCAATTGCCCTCTTTGACATCAACTCAAAATTTATCAAATGTTTCTAAACAAATTTCAGATATTATTGAAGCTAAGAAAGAGATACCTGAATCCTTAATTTCTTTATCTTCAGAGTTTCTCATTAAAAACAAATCTGATATAGATGTTCTTATTCTTCTTTTACAGCAAAAATTTTAAATGTCTCAAGAAAAACTAGAACAGTGGAGAATCAAGATTACCTTCAAAATGCAGGATAATAATAATTATTGGAAAAAAGAGTGTGAGAGTATGGACGAGATCGCTTTCCTGGAATATAAGCAAAATTTTGAAGCTAAAATGAAAGTTCCTACTACTCCGCACAAAAAAGAATTGAAAAATAAATCTCTAGCAATCATTGAATATGCATAATCATTATAAATCTTTTAATAAAGCAAGCATAAGGTACTAAGACAATATCATCTAGTTTTAGTAGTAATTTCTGAAGCAGAGAGATTGCTACATTTAACTAGTTATTCATCTCAGGTAGGGGATTTTTGTCATCTCTTACAATAAGTATAAGAAAAAATTCAAATCAAAAATTAATACTTTGATATCTAGATTATAAAGTTCCAAAATAAAAGTGGTCATATTCTGAAAAAGAACGTGCATATAATATATGTATCAGGAGTTGATAACTATTTTTGTATTACCTATTTTAGATATTAATAAAAATGATACTTCAAGATATCGAAAAAAGTGATACTCCAAAGTTTTTGAATTAGTGATATTCCAGATTTCATTTTCTGGTTATAAATAATGTTCATATTTTTTGATATATGTTTGATAATAATATCCCAAAGTTTTTGATATAGTGATATTCCAAAGTTTTCAATATAGTGTTATTCCAAAATTTCGATATAGGGATATCCCAAAGTTTTTGATGTAGTAATATCTTAAAGTTTTTGATATAGTATTATTTCAAAATTTTGATATAGGGATATCCCAAAGTTTTCGATATAGTGATATCCTAAAGTTTTTGATATAATGTTATTCCAAAATTTCGATATAGGGATATCTCAAAGTTTTTGATATAATGATATTTTAAAATATATAAAAAGTATGATTTAGATATCAGTATAAGCCAGCTAAATATTGAAAAAGATGATATCTCAAGGTATAATTATTATAGAAAGATATATATATAAAATTATGCTTTGGGATTACATATAAATAGGTATCAAAAAAAAGTGATACCCCAAGGTATAATTATTACAGAAAGATATATAATATATAAAATTATGCTTTGGAATATCAACAGATATGTTAATAATTCAGCACTACGTACCTCATCATTGGATGCTTTGGTGTTATTACCAGATATGTTAATAATTCAGCACTACATGTCTTATTATCAGATGCTTTAGTGTATTACCAGATATGCTAACAATTCAGCACTACGTGCCTCATCCTTGATTGATACTTGAGTGCATCATAATAGTTAACAATTTAGCACTACGTGCCTCATCCTTGATCGATATTTGAATGTATTATAATAGTTAGTAATTTGGCACTACATGCCTCATTATTGAATGTTTTGATGTAATACCAGATATGTTACCAAGTCGGTATTATGTGCCTCATCATCAGATGCTTTGGTATATTACCAGATATGTTAATAATTCAGCACTACGTGCCTCAATCTTGGCCCTTATCGAGGAATTAATCAGAAAGCTAGGGCACTACGTGCCCAGTTTAGGCATAGCCCTCATACTAGACCTGCAAATAATGACACATGACTGAATGTATCATTAGCATATTTTTTATAAATCATGAGGTATCTAAGTGTGACGATGTGAACATAAATTCATCATCATATTTTTTACAGATCATGGGTATCTAAGTGTGATGATGAACTCATGAACCAATTGTCACTCGAATGATGATGTACATGTGATTTTATCATCACATCTGAGTGGGAATAACCTAGACTAAGTGGAAATAACATAATTATGTTATTTCCACTTTGTTTAACAATATTTTTGAATTCATCTTCAGAGGAAGTAACAATAAAGATATTTAACCAGTCAAAATCTAAGTCTGTAATTGTATTAACTGGTTCAATAGGTACTTCAAAAGGTTCAACAGTTGTTTGATTGTCCAAGAGGAAAGAAGTATCGAGTTCAATATCTTTTGTAAATTCAGATTGCATGAGTAAATCCAAGAGTGTAATATTGATTTCATTTCCTGTATTATCGCAGGTGAGTAATCTATAAGTTGAAAAGATAATCATTCCAAATGGTTGTTGAGCAAGCATTTCTTGATAAATTTCTCCAAGAGCTTTGATTATTGAAGGGGTAATCCAAGTAGGTAATTGAGACATAATAAAGAATAATAAAAGACAAGAGTATAAAAGAACTTGAAAAGGTATAAGATAATAAAAGCAAAAAGTAATAGATAAAAGTAAAAATGTAAAGAAATAAAGAAAAAGAAAAGAAAAATAGAGGGGGTATTTATATAAAATTTGAACAAAAAAAATCTACTATAAATGATAGGATATTAAAAATGTTGGTATAAGGATAATTATAAAAATAGATAAAAATAAGATAGAAAAGAATTTCAAATATAGGAATGATAAAAATTAAAGAGGTAATCCATGTGAGTTACTCAATAATAATTTGTGATTCAAAGTAATCTTGGCGATCATGATAATGTTTGAGTTGTCTTCTATTAATAGAATACTTAAGAATATTTCTATTCTAGTCACAAAGTTTATAAGAGTTATATCCAGTATAGTCATAAATATAATATCATTCTTTACTCCAGGTAGGTTGAAATTTATCTCCAATTACTGAATATTATTTCATGTTGAATATTAATACTTTATTTCCAATTTCAAATATTATTTCTTTTTGAATTTTGTCATTATATATTTAAGAGTATTATAATTGTTATTCTTCTATATTTTACTTTGCTTCTAGTATTTGTTGTGGTAACTGATTTACTATATTATATATTTATTGTATCAATTTTTCTTCTTCTGTGAAGTTCTTTTCCAAATAGACAGGAATTTTTAATTTTATTGATAATTTAACATTTCATTCATAGATCAAGAAAATTGATTCATGCTTTGTTATTAAATTTTAATTTGTCCGATAAGCAAAAAGAGCAGTAGGAATAAAAGTATTCCATTCTTGTTCATGTACTATTATCAATTTTTGTAAGATTATACACAAGATTCTATTAAAGTATTCTATTGTTACAGCAAATCAGTAAGTGAGTTTTCACTTTGATTTACCCTAACGATATAGGGTTGGAAGAGACTGAAATAATTAAAGGTAATGAGAGGGGAATTAGACTATACTTTCAATAATGACAAAGGTTTCTAAAGCCTGTGTCAATATCTATGGATATTGTCTTAATAAAGGGTAAATAAATAAAGAAAGAATAAAATAAATCAAAGAAATTATAAAGA